AAATTCTCACTTGAATTAGTGGTCTGCACCCCTCAGTGTCCGAAGCCCAGAGTAGGGGTCAGTATTTTGGCATGACTGTGACCATAATTTCCCGGGTCCTTGCTCTATGGTATGACCACGCCAACCCCCTGCAGTTCTTCCAATTTTGGCATTTTCACTGCTAAACCGGCAATTAGTTTATCATTATTGCATAGTTAGAAAGGTACTCCGCTCCAATTTACTTTTAACTTTCCAGAAACGTAAAAACTTAAACAAAGTCACGCAACATCTAAATAAGTAGGTGTATATTTTACTTTCGATATTTTCAACAGTTCCTAATGCAGAGTTTACAGAGTGGTAAATCTATTTATTTCCTGGTTTTAGGAATTCCCAACTGTTTTTCTTCTTGGTTTGACATATTATATAGGCAAGGTTGGGGAAGAACCTGAACTTTGTTGCTATGAAGTCTCCACAATTTAAATGAGAATTCAGCGTTATCGAGATGTTTTTATTTCCGAACAAGCCCAAATTCTTTATGGTAAAACTAGTAAACTCCTATAAAATAATGTGGCGATTGTAGTCCTAGTCATTTTGTAACAAATAGAACCAATTTTCCCGTTGTAATAAATCATAATAGGAATTTCATTGATTTGGTTCACAGCCAAGTGAGTTTCATTATACATGTATGTAGGCCCTATATATGAGATTTTTTTCCTGTTCCCCACTTTCATCCTGGTCGTCTCATATGGCATGTAATGTATACAGTAAACCCATCCTGGTAGCGCAAGAAAAACAAAAATACAATACAGGACTACCGTTCATTAAAAGTGAAAGAAAAACGGACCGGCTAATGGCATTAGAGCGGTCCCTCACAATGATTGCGATCATGGTCATGACGCATTACCAAACGCATAGTAGGCGCTGAAGGAGAATGTGTCGCGTTATTTGCGTATGATAAGGGCCCTCGCGTTATCGACGGCGATGTCAAGGATGGTTGTTACAGGTATCCGTAGTTTATTGCGAAATATTGATTCTTGTGATGACAATGGTGATGCTGTTGGGTCAGTCATCACAACTCGTAATGACAAAGGACTTTTCATTGGGAGTTCGCTAACCTCAGTAATAAGTTAAGGATGGATGTCACTATGAAGCGCTCGATTTCTACGTGCGAGTTCATTGATATATTATAGGCCTTTTTATCCCACTGGTTAGTTACAGTTAGCAAGTGCCACAATTGAAACCAGTCACTGAGGTATTTCTATATTTGGGATTTGTGGCCTCCAATTTGGGATTATTCACACACCCCCAACTTGTGGGCCTATATTCGCATAGAGGCGGGCGGCAACATTCAGACCCGAGCGCATAGTTTGACTGCCGTTTGGGGATATGTAGTCATGACGCGACCAACTTCAAATTAGGCCTATCTAATCGGTTTACCCAAAGAGAGCGGCTAATATACTCAGACCAAGAATGAACAGAAAACTAGTCTTAAACTGGTTCATCCGATACATTAAGACCCAGATCTTTTTTTTTCAACAATTGCATGTAACATGTAGACTATTTGGCGTCCTCAGTGGGGTTGAGCTTAAGGAAAAGTGCACCTTTCAAATTGTCCATACTTTTCTGGACTACAGTACAGTACGGCTGTCTGCAATGCCAGTTACTGAAGATAACCTTCAGTTTATGTAACTTTATAGAGCTCGAAGTTGATCTCAATGTGAAGCCTCTGTGATGTTGTCATCCTCGCTATTATATATTTTTCTTTGAATTTGAAATTTTGATATTTGCCCACTTGTGTTTTTTTCTTAGCAATCTCAGGAACGTGTCCCGCGGCCGTTGTATATCCAGGATAGTCCGGACGATGACAAAATCAAACACCAAAAACCATGAGGGCGCTGTTAACACTCCCCGGTTGCCACCAGAAATTGCCCCGTACAAAAGCTGCACAGGACGAATCCAGTCGGTATGTTTACACTGGCATTATTGAAGCGTAGATTCCTCTGCCGTTCTCTGCCACAAACTAAAAAAAACCAAATGTATCTTACAAGAGATTGCCTTTAGAGACCCCTGCATGAAAAATAATTGCCAAATACGTGTGCTTTGGGACGATAATACCAGTACATGGCCTGGTATTTTTATTTGGCTTCATCCTGACTTGACACATGTTGTAATGTGGGTGTTGTCTTAAACTAGCCACTGTAGAAGCATGTCGGTGTCAATTCGCAGAAATACTGAAATATACGCTATTTATTTGTAGAGATAACTCGTACCTTTTAATCAAAAGGTTTAGATTTCGCCTGGTTTTATAGTTTTATGAACCCGATAATTTGGAAGCCGGAGAAGATCAGAGAAACTCATTTTAGTTCCGACTTTCTACATTCTTGTACAATTAGACCACTGCCCTTGTGGAAAGACCCCCTAGCTGCCAGGATTTAAGTCTCCCTGAGAAGATCAACATCTCCTTTGCTGGATGTGGGTTCCTCGCTGTCTACCACCTGGGCGTGGCCAAGGGTCTACTCACACACGGGCAGCATGTTGTGTCAAAGGTCAACCGTTGGGGCGGGGCGTCAGCTGGCGCCATTGCCGCCGCTGCTATAGTGTGCATGCCAAACAAATTAGGGGTGAGATGAAAATTGAAAAGCAAACATTACAAAATGCATTGCAGCAAAGTACTTTTAAATACATCTGCCATGGAAACAAATCTTTCAAAGTGAACACTTTCTTTTTTCAAAATCCATTGACGTACAGATAATTAATAGAGGGATTTTAACGCTTTTTAGCGCTTTTAACGTCGATCTGCGCACTTTTGCGTTTGAAAACGAGGCTGTATGTGTCAGCTTCAATTCTTAATTTGATCAGACGATTGAAAGTAAGGAGTCAAGACACAAAATACATAAAGGTATGTTAAATTCAGATTTTCAGGCTGCAGATTTTTGTGGAAGAATCTTTCAGGATGACTCGACATGTAAAATAAAAAAAAAATAACGGCAATTTACCGCGAACTAACGTACCTGCGATGGTCGTGTATCATGTGCAGTGGGCGTGGTTTAATTAAACTGAGGCGGCGTCACACTTACGAACCTGATACTGCATGTACTGTGTCGACTGTGTTTTCAACACAGAGTGCCTCGGTTTCGATGCAGATTTGAGCAGACGGCGCTAATGTGAAATCCCTCTGTTGCAATCTTCTATGCTATGTACGTTGTTGGAACAAAAAGGAATATGCGTGTACTTTTGACTCCGTTTTCACAAATTTATTCCAAAATAGAGCAACATGCTTTCGTCACTTGTCTCGCCACAATGTGCCATAAGATCACCAGCTTGAGTTATGAAGGTCGTTGTTATGCCTTCATAATAAAATTTGTCAAAATCACTTTCACCTTATTTCTGTGTTCTGATGCTATAGGCTTGATCATGGAAGGTTTGAAGGTTTTCTGTATTTTACACACTCTGCATTGTCGTAAGGCGAAAGTAAGGTGCGGTTGACATACTTTGAACGCAAACAAATCTCATCTCCCCCACCCCCCGAAAAAACAAGCATTCCTCCTGTGATACATATAGGCCCCCTGCAGACAGAGAATACAATTTCATGTTGTCACGATGAAGTTTATTATATCACATGTGTCAATTGTCGTGCAAACGACATTCTCAACCTTGCATTTATTTTGTTTATAATCGATATTTCGATACTCACAGTGCAGTAGATTCGATGCTATGGCTCCTGAAGACGGAGATAATGATAATTATTCGGTTTTTTTTTGGTATGATCGTTTTGAACAAAATGTTGCTCGAAATCCTGCAGCTTTAAACAAATCAGTATGCGGTAGCTAGATCGAAGCACCATGCTAGAATAATAGAGCAGTTTTAGGACAGTTGAACATAACTGAATACCGTGTCTGTGCTCCAAAACAAATTTATAAATGCTTCAAGTATTCATCTTTATGGGATACAAGATTAGAGAAAAGAGAAAGAGCCTACGGGGTTGCAACTTTTCTGTTTTTCCCCCGGCCATGAATCCAATTGTTTTTTGAAAACGATCGATATTCAAAACCGATTATTTTAAACCAGTAAAAGCAATTAATAACACCAAAGTTTTCTAAATAGTTTTCTTCTAGATGGAATTTCAGGCTTTTCATGGTGAAAGACAGCAATAAGTGGAAAGGTTGCGGTGGCACCATGCGAAGGAAAATATCTCTTATGAGTATGTCTGTTCAGAAAAGAGCCGGGAGTATAGTTTCCACTTATAGTTTTCCATAGCTCTATTTCAAAAGTTGCTTGGGGGTTAATAGGTTTTGTGTCACAAGTGTTTCTCATTTATGAGAGATTTGTGATTCCGTCATTTTCCGGCATATACCCAAGCTTTTTTTATCAGCGTTTCCTTTGTTTTCAAAGGATGCCGTTCAGATGCTGAGAGACTTCGTAGACGTGGTCCAGAAGCGGCCACTAGGAGCGCTGACGCCGGGCTTCGATGTGCTGAGCTACCTACGCGGCGAACTGCAGCGCTATGTGCCGGCCGGTTCCTACAGACTAGCCAGCCAGAAGCTCTACGTGTCCGTCACCAGGGTATCGGACGGCAAGAACGTCTTGTTGACGGACTTCAGATCGGACGAAGAGCTCATAGAGGTTAGTTTCGACATGCAGTGTCGATTGCGGAGGATAATGTTTTTGAAAGGGGAGACATATATACTGCTTTGAAAGATTTGTGAAAATGGCAGTATCTATGATAAAAGGAAAACCTTTACTGGGGTACGTATTTTCGTGCTCACATGGAAACCAAAACTGAGAGTAAAATGAGCGATGTGATTAGTAAATTTTCCCATTGCGAGTCAAAAGAAGGAATAACTTTCCTCTTAGAACACCCCCCCTAAAAGGTATCTTGATTTCAAGATATTTAGTTCCATGTTACTTTTGTTCTCATTTTTTGATTCCAGTTTTAGGCATGTTGCGTCATTCTCATCTGATGCCATAATTCCTTGACATTTCTTAAAACAGTTTTCTTGTGGGCTGTTTCATGTTTGATTTCCCCCCCTCTTTTTCAAACCCATTGTCGGTGACTGTTTTATGTGTATTTTTCCACGCACAATTAAAACCGTTGCAAAACTCACGCCAAGCTGCGATCAATATGCCTTTTTTTCTCTTTTAGGCCCTGCTCTGCAGTTGTTACATTCCAGTTTATTGTGGCTTCAGAGTACCAACGTTCCGAGGACAGGTGAGAATAACAGCTGCCTTTACATTCTCACGTCCTTCTCTTCACTGTTTTGCCTAGATTTTTCTTCGTATCAGAAAGCTTCATGTCCTTGGTGCACAGAAGGTTAGAAGACGATTCATGAAATGAACAGCCAGCATTTTGGCCATTTGCCTTTGTCTGGAAATAAAGCTGAAGGTTCAACACGATTACAGTTCATGACCTTGCTGAGTAACCAGTGTTTATTTTAACTAAACTGCAGCCTTTTCAATCATTCGGCGTGCAACATAATCTTGCATATTGTAAAAGATATCACTGAGTCCAAAATGAAGGAAACATAAAACAAGACGAGGTAACTGTCACGCGCATGTATATGCGGCAGTGGCCGATTGGTGTAAAATGCGACCACTTCTTGCCCTAAAGGAGCCGGGGCGGATCCAGCCCCCCTATACACACAAATTTTGCTCGATACCATAATGACTTGCGATCATTTTCATAGGAAGCTTGTGAAAACTTTCAGAGACTCAGTAAATAATGTTTCAACTTGTCTCAATGATGTACGTAATGTACACACACTAGAGGCTATATGAAATCCTTGGTTGAGTTCAATTGATCCTTGAAATCGCTTTCGTTGAGAAATCGACAACATTCGGTTCGGTTTAGCAATTTTGCCCGGCATGGTTTAATTAAAGAAGAGTGTCAAGTGGCAAAGGTAATCACAGATTGTCGTAAATAGACCTCTGCGATGTACCCATTTCCGAGATTTGAACTGTTGTTAAGATCAGCCAATATTTTGCTAATTACAGGAGCCAACCGCACTTTCGTAATTGCCGGGTAATAAGGTCTAACATTCGCTAGATGAAGTTCGAACGCAGCCGGTTGAAGACCACGTCCTCTTGGCGAGAGACACGAAGTCTACGGCTCTTGAAACAAGCCGATTTATCAGCGCACGATCGATTACTAATTGTAAACTTACACGCAGCAAGCCCACGGCGGTAACACCTAAGGAAATAAGGACATTCTTGAGTTATCTGAACACCAGGTTCTCCAAAAGTGATATGGATGCAGTAACCTTGTTATCTAATACGTTGGACAAGTGCACCCACTCACATGCACAACACGTACATGTACATAACACATGAAAGATTGTGCGTGATTGGAGCAGGCAAGTGCAACCGCGTGCTGGAACGATCTCTTCAAGTGGCGGGGTCATCGGTTGGAACTACAGTGCCATTTTTAGGTACCACCAGCCGTTAGGGATTAGAGGAGAATGTTTGAGATAATCATACCGGGGTACATCTTGAAATTCTACGGGCTCATTTCTAGGTCAGACAAAGAACAGACATGCTTGGAGGGCCTTCCATGTTTCTTTTTTTTTTAATAAACAGAAACATTCTTTGGTCGAAGTCGATGCTCACACACCCCAAAATGGAATGTCCCAGAAACGGCGTTGTACAATATTATTTGTAAAGTAAGGCGTCTTTATCAACCGATTATTCGTTTGAACGATTGTGCTTCCCATCAACGTTGCTTGCTTTTTTAGATGTTGGCAATTTTAAAGAAAGATGCTTCTTGATGACAGGCGTAGACGAAGTACATAAAGTTATTACAGTGATCACTTTGACTAAAGACCCTCTTGCCGAGTACGTCATGTACAAAGGCTATACGATCTGAGGTTGGATTCGAATAACGAGCAGAGTTGTAACCAGACACTATTTTTTTAACCCGAGTCGAGCCGGCCATTGCAACAGTGACTCGATTTGAGTTGAGTCATTGTAATGTAGCGACTTGAGTCGAGTCGAGTCATTAGGCAAAAAAGTCGAGGCGAGTTGAGTCGAGTATTTAGGTCAGGTCAATTCGAAACACCAATGTTTGAACACAATACGATAAGGAAAAACAGAAAAAAGCCACTTTTGGCACTTTTAGGTTTACCTCTGGGTTTCTCTATATGGTTGGACCACGTTACGCGTGATGATAACACGACATAAACCGGCACTGTAAGTCATTGCAAATATATTTTTTGCACAGAAGTTGGCTCTTATTTTTTGAATTCAAGTCTTATTAACTTCCACTCGGGTAGGGTCTTCTGATGAGGTACTCGACTCAAGTCAAGTCGAATCGCCGAAAAATGTGTCTTGCGTTGGACTCGAGTCAAGTCACTCGAAGTCCTCAGCACCCTCACAACTCTGCGCGTAACGCACGGTCTGAGGTGCTTGTCAAATTTGGCAATGTGACATCATCACTAATTGGTTTCCTCTGTTTTAATTGAAGAAATACATCGACGGTGGTATGACGGTGAACATGCCCATCTACCCTGATGGCAGGACGCTGTGCGTGTCGCCCTTCAGCGGTCACTTGCAGGACATCTGCCCGGCCGACAAGTCCTGGCTCAGCCTGAGCTACGTGGTGGCCGGTCACAGCTTCCGGGTCTGCTCGCAGAACATCTGGCGGGCCATGGTGGCGCTTTTCGCCCCAAGTCACGAGACCCTGAGCGAGTACCTCGATCGGGGAGTGGGGGACGCTATTACATTCCTGCAGGAGAACAGACTTTTGGAAGAGAGAATCAAGAGGGAGAGCTGAACGGAAGACGCTCTCCTGCCCAATCTTTTCCTTGGAGCGAATTCTTTGAAACTCCAGTGGAATCCATTCAGGAAACAAGAATACACTTCTGTGCATCACAAACCTGTAACTTGTGATTGGACTTGTGTTTGCGTCAGTGCATGGTCTTGTGACTGGACTTGTGTCTGCATCAGTGGTCTTGAGACAGTGTCGGGCCCCGGCGAGAATGCACCCTTGTCACTAGTTCACGCCACGTCTCTATGAGTACTGGGTAGCGTTACTAGGCATGCTATTTTAGGCTACTGCGTAATTCTACTTGTAAAAAGAACCTTGTAAAACATATTCACGGTGAATATGTGCAATTCACGGAGAATATGTGCAAAGCCAGAGTCCCAAACCATGCACAGTCACTCGTTGAGGGCACCAAACCCTAGTAGTCCCCGAGGTCAAGACATAAATACCCAAGACCAGCAAGTGTGAAAAAACCTTTTCTGTAGCTAAATAATTTCTATATATATTTCATTATAAGCAATATAATCCAAGAATTCTACACATGCATGTCTCACATCGGAATGGCGGACCGAGTGTATGCCCCCATTCTAACCCCCTTCAAGATCACAACCGAAAGTTCATTTAGTACCAGAACAGGGAAAAGAATCCTGACTTCTGCAATGGACAAATGAATATTGTTGTTATTACCGGGCTCCATGTGCATAGGCATATAGCCCGCTGGTGACCTGGGTAGAAACACACAAACAGCACCAGCTTGAGAGGCTGAGGATTGTCGTTGTATATAGATTACTATACACCCTAGCTATTCATTAGACTTTTTTTTAAATCTGTGTTAAAACTTGAGTTAATAGGCTGCACTTTATTTTTGTAATTTAATGTTTGTATATGTAGTTCTATTGCCTGGTATTTCCAAAACGTAGCACTGTTTTTGACAGTTTCTTATTTAATAATGCAGGGTACAACGTGAGCTGGACTTTTATATTGTATAGTGTAATTTGGCGACTGGAGTTAGAAGCCATTAGTGCGGTGCCCACCTGTTACGACGTCATAGAATTGTATGTAGTACGATTCTTGTATTCTTACTGTATGTTTATTCATTTTATCTGGTAATGAAAATGGATTTCATGTGACAAGACCCTCAGGCATTAAAAGGTCAAACAATAAGACCACAGCAATACAAGGCAACTTTGTGTCTTCTGGATTCATTTGAATGTTGGACATCGAGCAATAAACATTGGTTTCCACTGACGTCCACGATTGGTGATATTATAAACAAGTACATCAGGGGTCTTCAGTTTTATGAACAAAAGAGACATACAGGCTAATTATACATGTTTACACACATTCTCGTATATGAATGGGTGTAAGTGTATTTGAGAGTAATGGGAGACTTTTAGACGCTGGTGGCAGCAGACAACCGGTCCTTTTCGCGTAATTGTTTTCCTAGGAAGGTTAGGGGTAATTATAATAATATGGGCGTATCCCGTTGTGCGTGTGTTGGTCGTCTAGGAAGGGTAGGGGCAATTATCATAAATGGGGTACACAAACTTTTAAGTATAAGACACAACAAAACTGTTCGTCTGGCCAACTTGCATGGTAGCTCTGTTAGAAGAGCTCTATACTTAGAACCAGCAAGCCAAGAGTTAGATCTCTGTGAAGCAATTTGTCAGTTTTCTTGGTGGGGAATTGGTTGGAGGATGTTTTATAATAGGATTAGGGCAGCGCGCACATCCGGGATTCTCGCAAAAAATTGACAGGTAGTGCGCCGGTGAAAACAGCGACCTTGGCGACGTACGCACGCACCAGCCAGTGAGGATCGGGTTACACAATCTTTTCTTTGATCTGTGCGTACGCGCGCGCTCGTTGCAGTTGTTTTCACTGGCGCGGTGTCGTTGCTACCCGTATTTTTGTGAAACTCCCGGATGTCCGCGCTGCCCCATCAAACCCGACATTTACCTCAGCACTGAAATTCTAAGTGACCACTAAATTGATCCAGCTTGCAGTTAACCACTCCCGTATAGGCCTATAGTAATTACCCCTAGCCTTCCTAGAAAAAAAAATACGCGTCCTTGTATTGGGTGTGCTCAGCTATGCACGCATGCTCAGAACTGGGTAAAAATGGTATGTTTGTCGCCACCAAGCGCCTTAAGCGTCCCATTACTTCATTCCTCCTTCTCACGCGCCATATTTAAGGAACATGAGGAAGCATCGGAACTGCATGCGACAGCTTTGATTATCGCGAGTTTGGCAAGTTGTCGAAACAAAATGTTGTTCTATGACCTGTATTCTATTAATATTTTGAACGCCAATCAAGGCTGCAAGGTACGACAGATACAAATTTTTCAGTCTGCACTCGTCCCGTAAAAACCACAAGTTCTGGTTGTCAGCGTTTACATTTGAGCTTGACCAGTCAGTTGTACCGCAAGTGCGAGAATTGTCATGGTATACGGTAATCAATAACCGGAGAAATCCCTCAGTCCGTAAAGCTAGTCGCCTACTGACAAACAACGGGTCGCTGGACCTCAAGACCACAGAGTGCCATTAAGCCTAATATAACGAGGTCATAACAGAGCTTACTATGGAATGTCAGCTACGCAAGCCTAGTTTTCAAGTGGTATGGAAGGGATTAACTCAAGTGGCCAAGAGTGTCAGAAGGAAAAGTCAAACAAGTTTATGAATAAATAAACAGATCTTGTTCTTAGGCCCATGACGAAGAGAAAACAGTTGATCACACAGGGTTTCTGCGCAGTATTTGGTGTTTTTGTGTGCCTACCAAAGACCACCCATCCCTTCCCCACACTCAGTGTAGCCCGACAGGGGCCTAGGGGAGGCATTCCTTGGGGATGTGCTAGGGTCAATTTGCCGACTTGTAACTTGTTCCCAAACCTCGTGTCGTGTAAAATCATGGAAATGGTACGCAACATTTCATACATCAGGAGAAATGCCGACGGCCAACGTATATCGTTTATGTACCAATTTTAGATTCATTTGCCGATCGAAGCTCTATTTGCTGACTGGAATTAATTATTACGGGGAGGGTGCCGCACTCCCACACCCCCAGTCGCTACGCCCCTGTAGACCGATTGGTGCTAAGTAAAAGAGACAGAATTTAACTGGAATCAAGTATGATTAGTCACAAACAAAATGGAATTGGTTGGATGATAAAAAAATTTAGTAAGAGTTGAAAAATTGCGGTCACAGTTTTGTGTTAGGACCTCAGAGTCTATTCTGGTTCCCTATGTCTCAAGATATCACGCCTTGAAGAACGACTGTGTTTCCTTTATTTTTAGTATAATGACCCATAAAAGAAGATCAGGAGATACGATTTTTGGTATGATTAATTAAAGCGTAAAAGTTCATTTTTATCACACTGTTTGTATTATGTATGGACGAATAACACATTGGGTTAATACCACATGCTATGGCAGCCATTGCATTATTGTGTCAACAATGTGATTTGAACAGAATGTTGGACCTGAATGGGATAGCATCGACTTGCGAATTCCCTGCCAGTAATTTTCCATGGTGTTTATAATGTGCAAGTATAGTCACTGAAGTGTACGGGGTTTCTATGACAGGATATGACAATCGCTCCAGTTTCTCACTTTTTAGAAGTCTGTTTCTGTTTGGTGCAATTTAAACCTTAATTGCTCGATTTTGTTAACGTAGTGACGGACTGGTGACGCTATACCTTTAGAAAGTAAACAGTGTGTTTATTTATGCCGGCACCTATCAACATTAAATGTTGCCTCTGATCGCTGCCAGGCACGTACACAACATGAGTATCGAAAAGTGATGCAATCCAAGCTCGTGGCGTGTCGAAGGTGCGTGACTTGAAGTTAACATCGTCACCTTTTCGTGAAGGTTGGTCCTTTCTCACTAAAATTGGTCCTGCTTGTTTTGTTTGAAAAGTTCCGTTAAAAAAAATCAACAAGCAGCCCGATCAATTACAGTCAAGAACTTGTCCGCGAGACTGAAACCATTATTGGGCAGCATCCCTCGGGGAAAGTTGGTCGACGGGCGCTTCTGTGAAACCGGTTCGACCAATCATCGGCCGACAGGAACTTACCGCACGGTGACTTTCCTCCTCTTTGGTTTTGCAACCGACCGGGCTTCATTCTCATTCGCGCTCCGCTCGCCAGCAGACCGAAGAAAAGAAGGAAGGATGGGTAGCCGATGGACGCTGCTTTTGTACTTGTTCAGCATGCTGCTGATTTTGACAGGCTTAACGGAGGCTGAGGAGGCCACCGTTGCGACCTATGCGGATGATCAGAAGGGAACTTGCCACTATGAACTGAAGATCCCCGCCGTTTCGTGCCAACAGTGCAAGGTGAGAGATGTTTCCGTTTCTTGAAGGTATATTTTCTGAATGATTCGGACTATAGTACGTGTAATCTTCGTAATAAATGTCACCGGTGGCCCTTTGCAGGGTCAGGTTGTGGGCGTTCTGCTTCTGTGGCACTGGAAAATAGAACACAGTTGTTTTGTGTAGCTTCCTTTGTTTACTCAATTTTTGAAAGCAGTGCATGTTTCTCAAACTCTGTGAGAAAGAAAACAAAGCTTGAAATGGCATAGAGACTAAAGAGCTTTCTCGATGATATGTACTGTCTTACGACGGTCGGGTTTCTTTCGGAATAATGTCCTACTACTCATTCAGGTTAACCGGCGAAGATGTTTGTTCAGAAACTTCCGTCGCTAAAAATAATTCAATTTCACATTTTACAGCACTTGATTTAACCTACAGGTTAAGATTGACCAGTGATTTAAAGTGTCACAGACTCACAGAGCAAAATCCAGCTGCTGGTCGTTAGGCTTCGTCCTTTGGTAATCACTTTACCCTTTTTTGCTTCTATGGACTCTGGGGTATAAATGGGCTGGTAAGTGGGTATTAGCTGGGAAGTGACCTGCGTTGAACTTGTAGCCCATACAGAGGGAATCGAAATATTTTTCCACCGTCTGATGCCTTGGGAGCGAACGAAATAATCGGCCTAACGAGTAGTGTTGACCTTACCGACGCAAGCACTTAATAGGACAATGAGACAACTTGCAAAACAGTAGATGTGTCGGGCTTTGGTGTCCTGCCTTGTCACACTGACAAGATATTGACGAAATTCTGTTGGTACAATTCAGCATGTTCAATGCAGTGCCTACTGCCATGTTGATTCAAATTAAACAGGCCAACCCCGAAAACTTTGCTCAGTGGTCGAGTGGTAAAACATGTCAGTGCGGGTAAACCGACGGGGTCATGTGTTCGAATCCTGTCGAGCAGACGCTTTTCGTCACCAGCTCTCGGAAAGCATTGGAAACTAGTCTGACACTTGAATTCTTGTCGTCATACACACACTCAAGCTGAACAAAATATTAGCTTGTCAACATGTCAAGCTTTTGCTTTGAGCATACACGGACTGCTCAGTAGGTCTATACTGACTGGGATGTACAAGTGTCAATTAGCCTCTTTCGAGTTAAATTTGAATAAAATCTGGTACACCGAGTTCTTTGAATTCAAGTGGACGTAATTTGAATTCTCCGTACCAAACACACTGTTGCAATACCTCGTGATTCGGGGCAGGCTTTTGCTTTAATAATTACGAGAGACGCCTTGCACCAATACACTGTTTTCAACGGATGAGAAGCTTAGGCACAAAGGAACCAGTTCATTCCAGAGATGATGGTCGCTGTGCAAAAGCTTGCCCCGAAGCACGAGGTCAACAGTGCTTTGGGGAATTCAATTGTATTGTTTATGTGCAATCAGATAAGTCAGTGTACCAGATTGTATTCAAAATAACTCGCAAAAGGCTAATAATGTCATCGTCTTGAGAAAGGAAATTCAATGCCTGATGAAATAAACTATGATAATGTTCAAGCGGTATAGTACTTGAATTCAGTTGTGGAGCGACTACAATACGGTAGCGGTGTCACAGGGACAAGACTGCACTTGACTGAAATTAAAATCAGACTTCCAAAGTCGTTCCTTTCAATAATGTTATACCCTTTGGCGAAGGAACTTTAATACCGACCTCTTATCAGGCTAAAAAAAATATTTTTCGTCAGAATGTTGTGTGGGTTACCTTTACCTTTAAGATTTGTAAACCATAGCGTACACTCACTTTTTTTTATAAACGTATGAAAGTGGGAGATTAATTTTTCTCCAAATTCATTGCATCTGCGAATTTCTGAGACCGATAAGGATCTCCCATGCACATTCGGTGTTGCCATCTACAAAATTCTTAGATAAATCAAGAACTGATGGAACCAGATCGAACTTTATTGAGAGTAAAGCCCCGATATGATCAATAACAATTATTGCTTCAAGAGACGGCGTAGCAGGATTCAATGTAATTTGCTTCGGTCTTCCCTTTGCCCTGACATTCTCCTCCGAGCCCGAAGGGAGCGAGTGTGGAGTAAACGCTGGTCAGTCCCGTCGAGCAAATTGAATTTTCCTGACCAGCGAGATGGGGTCACAGCGCGTGGTGACACTGTTGCCAAAATGCATCTCCATAGAGACGCACTGCCACGCTCACTCCGTGCACTTTCAAACGGACCAATGATCTCAGGGAAACTGGTTTTCCTGTCCAAAACTGTGTCAAAAACTTAAAGACGTTGGAGTGTATCGGTTTCAAAGTAAGGAGAAAGTTTTACTTCCCTGCGGATGTGGCAGCGTAATCACATGGACCAGGTGCAAGTTATACCACACTCGTGCCCCCGGGCCATTCCGAACTTCAGAGCCAAACGAGACGAACCAGTTATACTGAAGCCGGAAACCAGTGCACCGCGAGCTGGACGCGGAATCCGATCACGATTCCACTCAGCCCGCTCGGGGCGGCTCGGATCAGTTACGGGCGCAGCATCACATTATGGTGCCATAACCATTTCTTCAAATAAATGTGCTAATTTGAAATCTGGGATTGACTGCTGTGATGGTGCCGCCAATCTCACGAAAAGACCGGGGCGATAGGTTGGGGACACATCGAAACGCTACCGCGGTGTGGTATAGGCCTATCCTTGACACGAGTTGCCATGGTTAAATATCAACTTGATTGAAACGGAATAACCCACTTGGTTAAAGGGGTGATTACACTTGAATGTCTAAAAGTGAAAGAAGAGAAACCGACGTAAAGAAATAAAACCACATTCCTGTATGTGTATCAAAACTGCAAAATGAAATGTAACTTAATGAAATCTTGAAGAATTGTTTCGGTACTTTGAATTCCACCACCCACCTGCGATCTGGCAGTTATTAATAATGGAAAACTGTGCCTGACATCCATTATGAATTACAGTTTTATCAACATTATATCTTCTTCGTCTCAATGGCCTTGTATATGCAGTGTGAGTCCGACACGAGTACGACCGACGCTGTTCGTGAACTAGAAAAGCGTCTAAATGCTATGGAGAGGCAGATCCAGCAAATTACTAGTGAGTACATATTTTCCTATAAATAGACGCATTCTCAGAAGGTCAGTCATATCTAAATTCACATGACGAAGTGTTGTTCAGAAACTCATTCTTCAAAATTAGGAATTTGGTGTTGCCTTTGTCGGGTCGATCACAGCGATGATTTCGGTCCACGTGCGCGGCGTGCAGACCTTGAAAATGACTAGCGGGTGCGATATCGATGTGACTGCTCCGATTGAATCACGCTGAGACGTTTCTCAATAGTGTTTAAGTCCTGCGAAGGTAATCAAAGATTGCAGCTAGCAGCTATCGCCTTGACTCAAGGCTACCCACGAAAAAAAATCTTCTGGCCGTTGAGGCTTATAAAGATTAGCTACAGTAAAGGGTATTGTGACGGAAAAAGAGGTTGTCCTAAATTTTTAAAAAGTTTGAAGTTTTCCTTCTCCCCATGTTATTCTAGAGTAGGACGTATGACGTTTTAACCCCTTGTCACACCTGATCTGGACAATCTGACAACGGATATGTCATTGAAAGTGACTTTAAGTTATTATATTGTGTGGAAGACAATTTGCATAATTTAATTCCCCACTCGAAACTTAAAATTTGTGGTCAAAACTTACACAATCATTATCCCAGATGTAACAGGGACCAGAAAAATGGACCCCAGTTTACAGGGTTATTTCAGTTGGCATTTATTTAGAAATAAACGAATAATTGTATAACCGAAATTGAGTCTGATCTTCTTTTATAGCTATGGTGCCTCCCGACTACGAGATATCTGACTACTCGACGACACCTTTCTCCTCTATAATCGAGAATGACCACCCATATGCATCGCCTGTTTTCAACGGCGAGGGCGTTTCGATACAGGAGCTATTATCCTCGAGCCCAGAGTATGACGAGCCATCGCCGCCGGTACCCAGTCCCAAGAAGCGTCTGACCGACGGCACTCCTGGGATTAAGCGGGAAGCGACTATAGCTAAAGTGAATGACGACATCCCCGTTGTGAACTCGCCTGGGCACAGCGGGCAAATTGAGGCAGCCCCTGGATACGAGGAGCTCTTAACTGTGACAGGTGTGGGATATTTCTTTTGGGAAATGTGTGGTCCACTGTCGCACTATGCATGGTGTATATCCGTCTTTAATTAGGGTCTAGTTTCATCGATGGTTCAGGTTGATGGCGACCCGCGCTGCACTGGCAGTTTAAGGCATTTCTGGATGAAATGGCCAAACCCTTCTCCAAGCAAGCGTGTGTGTGCATGTAAAATTTCAAATGTTCACGAAAAGTGAAATAGAGATTGGTGTAAATGCGGTAAGTTATTACCACAGCAAAACCAAAATGTCTGAGATGATGCGTGTGTCCAGGGCAAACCTTTTAACAATTAGTTCGCTGTCGATATATTATTCACCAGAACTGACTACATTAGAAGAACAATTACCGTTGTATCCGAACCAAGCCACCGACTTCCAACCTGTGATGGATGATGGGGACACCCAAAGCAGGGAAGTGGAACACTTTTTTGTCGAAAAGACAGGAGATAACACCGGAGCGACTGAAGCCGAAGACGCTTCCAGACCGAGTGAGGGATCGAGGGAGCCTCTAGGAGCCGATAGGGGTATCGTAAGCGGGAGGGCCGCCAGCGACCCTCACGCACCCTACAAGGCTTCACCGGTCACCCGCAAGCCGTTGGTCGGCGATGACACCGGTAAGGCGGGCCTCGAGAAGAAGAAGCCGCGGTGGAAACTCCACGAACGACCCGCGGCGGTCGACCGGCCTCCGGACAGCCAGTCGGCGCCGTCGGCGCCCCGCGAACCACTGGGGAGGGCGGGGGCCAACTGCATGGACGGCTGCAGCTGCCTGAGGGTGTGGGGATACTGGCAGGACGGGGTGTACGCCGTGAGCAACCCTCCGGGATCCGGGAAGAAGGGCGAGTCAGTCTTGGCATACTGCGACATGAGTACAGACGGGGGAGCGTGGACAGTCATACAGAACCGAAAGGTAATTGATATATTGGGTATAAGAATTTTGGCAAGAAGGGTATAGCAACAATATGGCCTATAGTGAGAGGACACGACAAAAACTCCCTCTGACCAATTTGCCGAGGGAAATGTTGAGAAAACAAGGAAGCCAGAAACTCCCAGTATTCGTACAACCACTAACAAACATGAACAGTCACAATGGAACGGAACAGAAGATATAAAATTTTCAACGTCACATTAGAATTTGGTTCCTGACAGAATTTAAGCTGCACTACTGAACAGTACACAACGTTTAATATCGAAAGACGCGAGGGTACAATAGAAACGGAACTGTGAATGGGGGCGCGCGACGACCATATGCAAACGAGACCGCACAAAGTAGCAAGGCGACACTAGCTGTCGGGTCGATTCCACACATTACTGGATTAAGGGCATTTGCCGCCAAAGATAAATGTAGTAACAATTCAGAGAGTCACTTGTATTCTATATGAAATTTTAACAGAGCTGCTTGGAGCAAAGCATGGAGCAGCATTTATTTTATTTATTTTTATAATGTTCACCCAGCAGCATATTTAGCGGATTACAGGATGAAGTGACAGTTAAGACAATGTTTAGTTTTAGAGGTGGGAGGAAAACCCCAGATAAATATTCCGAGGGAAAAACCTTGGAATCAGGAAAGGACTGAAACCCCAGCCCACATGCTGACCCAGGTGGGATTCGAACTCGAGTCGCAGAGATGGAAGGCGAGGAAAGAGCCACCACACCAACCCGACTCCCCTGACACCAAGATTTGTTTTCCCCTGTGTAAAAGATATACATAAATCATCGTGCTTTATACCCATTTCTTTATAGGATGGATCCAGGAATTTCTATCGTCAGTGGTCTAGCTATGCCAGTGGTTTCGGCCGTCTTGAGTCGGACTTCTGGTTAGGAAACGACATGTTATACGGACTGACTACAAGAATCCCCTACCAACTACGAGTCGGTAAAAAAAAATGGGCACGTATTCAGGTCCATCTCCCGAAATTCAAGTGCATGGGGCACGAGGTGCATTGCATTGTGGGCCAAAAAACGCTGAGTAAAATAAAATTCAAACGCTAGGTAAAAAAACTGTTTGACAAATGTCTAATAAACGTCACAAGTTTGCAAAATATCAAGTGAGAAATCATGGCGGTTGGCTAGTTTCTTTGACCAACAGGTACGCGATTCACCTGGTAAACCAGCGTTGGGGAAAAATTCCCGCGCAAGCAGCATATATTCTCCTGCATGAAAAGACTAAGATGAAATTTTCATGACTGTCGTTGCTCTGTTCCCTTCAATGTCATGACGTACGCGCCTCGACAGGACACAGGCGACCTATTATATAGGCTCCAGGGGTGCGTGTCATTAATTTATGTGAACGTTGCTTAGAACCAGAACGTTTCACGAATCGAGTGCCACTGGATACCTGAACAGATTACAACGTCTGTGAACGGATTCCAGCATGACTTTAATTTAATGATGCGAAACACTGTGTCAAAGCTTTTAAATTAATGGCGGTTCGCGATGTAAACACAGAGCTAGTCAACAGGTTTTTCATGCATATTTTTACATAATGGAAAACAATTATGATTATTATTTTGAACAATGTCAGAATTCAGTGACTGGGATGGCGAGCAAGGCTACGCGGTGTACGACCGCTTCGTGGTCGGTAGCCCAGACGACAAGTACCGCCTTGTGCTTGGCGAGTACGTAGCTGGTAACCGGGGCAACTCCCTCTCCTACCACAACAACAGTCTCTTCAGTACTCACGTAAGTCCATGACAGGAAATGATCTGCAAAGACTCGAAAAAATTCTATTCTTACAGTGAAATTTGGATCACAATAATCGACAAGAAAAAACACATCAGATGTAGACCGAATAAACAAGTATGACACCGTAAGAGATACAAAAAAAGGGATACGTGATGTTTGCATGTCACTTCCCCGTGCTCATTGCACACAAAGACCCCTCGTTTTTTGTGTGCATTCGGTTGAAAATAAGTCTTGCCCACCAGTTAATAATCACTGAAGCCAGTAATTCTCATGGGTTGGTCACAAAGCACCATTATTTGTTCTTCCATAGAGTTTCTTGAGAAATTTGCGCACTTCGTTATGCCATTTCAAATATCGGGCCCGATTTCCGAATAAAAGGATGGCAGTGGTCGTTCGATCACTCGAAAGCCGTATTTTCCAGCTATCAGGAGACTTAGAAGTATTCCCCTTATTTCACCAACAGGATCAGGACAACGACGCCTCTGCCGAGATGAGCTGCGCTAAACTCCGCCAGGCGGGCTTCTGGTTCAAAGCCTGCAACCAGGCCAACCCTAACGGCCGGTACATTCACGGCCCTGACGCCGGCGGGCTGAACGGGGGCGTCATCACCTGGGGCACGTGGGGCGGACACGGCTTCACCTACGCGCTCAAGACGTTCCGGATGATGATCCGGCCCGTCCATTACGACAGGATTCTCTACTACTAAAAGAGAAACTCTGTATATCCACAATGAGCAGCAGTGGTAGAATGAAGAATATTCTTTTTAATTTTTCTTAGTCTTTTGTAAATAAAAAGTCCCTTATTTTTTAACAAGGCCAAAGTGTATGAAGCAAACATCAACAAAGGGAAACACATGCTAAAAAGAAAGGGAAAATTTCCCTCCGTACCTCACGGAGAGGAGCGTCAGGCTTTCAAGTGATGAGCTAATATTTCAAATGCCAGTGGTCTCTATTCAAGTTACCCGAGCCAAAGATTCTCATTTGTATGTCTCTGGCTAGGACTTTCTGGAGACAATTTCAGGATAAATCTGATTAAAATGAATTTAGTAATACTTGTCCACCGAACTTGGTCTGAAATGAGCATGGTACTTCACATGTTCCATTGTTCCTTAGACTCGTATAGACCTTGTGCACGTGAGTCATTATACGAGTCAATGGCTTTGTGGAGTAAGCAAGGACATCTTTTTGGGGGGATGCAAATTAATCAAGTAAAATGGCTATACAAGCATAAAAGCCACAGATACAAAGAGAACAAGGTAAGGTAGAGGAATTAAGTTTCTGAAACTGCAGTTTTACAAAGACTTCAGGGTTTGGGGCCGAAGCACTATACCTTTAAGACTGAAATTTTAGTTGGGATGACCTACTCTCTGTATAGTCGTCAAAGTTTAGACAAGCCATGAGTGGAAAAGTACTATTTGTATAACTACATCAATTAAATTTTTACATCCGCAACATCCTTATTGTCAGATATCATTTTTTTGTCAAGTGTCACCTTCATGATGTAATGAAGTATATTCTACTAATCGCTCAGTACACAACTGGAAGTTATTTAAAAGGATCCATGCAATTAACTTTTCTTACAACCCCTTTCTTGTGTATCTCTGTGCTCTTCTTCTACGTATGAAGACTGTTTGACTTTTTTTTTGAGTTGTGCAAACTGAAAAGAGCGCTTTTAAGACATTCTAATTGACCAAGCATTTCTGGACAAGTGGGGGCGCTTTTACTTTGATCTAAATTCGGGACGACACTGTTCACTTTAAATGTTTTCATACTCAAATAGTGTTCTCAAAATTTGCAATTGGACGTTCACTGAGTACGGCCCCGGCCCTCCTATGAGCGGTCTAATAAGAAGGCCGGGGAGTAGACTAATTGTGGGGCAGTCTACTCCCAGGCATAAGGGGTACCGGTACACACTCAAGCGCTCACACGCCCATCACACGCGTACGCAAACATTCTCAGTGGGCGGCAATGGGCAACTGACCGACAGAACCATAATGCAAAACTGGATAATATTTGGGTTATGGCTGCTATATTTATTCGTGCATGTAGGTGCCTTCTAAGTAAATGCCTGCTCTACGCTCAGTTTACAGAAACAGCCAGCAAAACTCTGTCTCTTGCCTCTAAATTTAAGATTCCAACTCACCCAGGTACACCGCTCAGCTCTTTCCTAGTACTTCACCAGGTTGCAGAGTGTCAACGCAGGAGTGGGCTACAAATTAACAGAGTGCAGCTGTGGGAAAAAGAGGCCCGGCGATCATCAGTTTCCAACCGATCAGGGCGCTGGGACAGAAGAGAGCGACCATATGCGAGTCACGCGCTTAAATACCCTGGCCAGGTACCAACTCCCTGCAATTCGTGCGCAGCTCAACGAACCTGAGCCCGCGCACCAGTAATACATAAACTTTAACAAGTCTTTTTTTACAAGTAGGAAGAAAAACTGTTCTGATACAAAATACAAATGTGAATTAGCATAAAATTTGCATTAGAAACAGAACTGAAATTAGTGAGGATTTTCATGTTAGGGCTACCCTTACCTGAATACTACGCAGGCGCTGGGAATGTGGGTAAGACAATGAATTGTGGACACATTTTCTTGAACACGTAAGTGAAAGCTGTTAATCTTAACCAATCCGGTTCGTAAACGTGACGTCACTTCAGTTTTAACCACGCCCACCGCACATGCAATGCACATAGAGTTACAGTGTACATGCATTGATCGCCGTTTACTTGGAACCGGAAGTTAACGCGTTAACTTCAGCGATCGTCCAATGGGAGCCTGCAAATCGTGGCGCGTCCACCTTTGTAACAATGTCACTTACTAGCCGGATAGAAAGGGACAACACGGCGACTGCTTTTTATTAATGAATAACTGTCAGTATGGATCCAAACGTCCAAAATTGTGCTTTTTAACATAACCATTGATGGTTTCTGTGAACTTTGTTATTGGATTTGGGTGAGGCTCCAAGTGGAGTCTTTCCCCTGAAATATTGCAAAGGGATAATTTCATTTCTATGTAACTATTAAGCCAGCTCGTTATAAGAGAAAGATCACATCGTATGAAAGATACGAAAGTATTAAAAATGTGCTTAGCAGGGTTTAAGCGAAACCTCAGCCCTTGCTTTAGACGATGTTGCCATCGCACACTGAAATCAAAATAAAAATCCAAACAATGTAAACATAAATCCGAGGAATCAGATTATCTTGCCTTTGGATCATTCTGACTATACAAAAAACAAGCAAGCATAAGCAAG